GTCGACTCTTGTTCCTTAGCTGTTCCCTTTGTCTGGCAATTCTGCACATGTGCACACTGGGAACAGGCTCCAGCTGTTCTACTGCCTCACTGATGTCTGACTCTAAAGGCAGCTGATAAATGGCATACGGCTCTGGCCCCCTCTCTGCCTCCGACACAGAGCCCTCATCAGAGCCTTCTCCAGACTCCAGGACTGGCCCATGTTCCTCCCCAACCCTCCTCACTGTCTGAATCTACTGCCACCTCCGCTAGCCATTGGCAGGCTACAACAATTGCCAAGACCACAACTAACTTAAAAACTTTTTTTCCTCTCATTATGTTTCCTAGATGTGTTGTTGACTTCTTCCTTGTGGTTACCCAGTTGGGCTTTTGTAGCGTTTATTTTGTATTCTTAGCTGAAAATATGAAACAAGTAAGTACAACAAATATTATTTGGAGGTGTGTTATGCCCTTGCCCCCTTTGCATCTCATCCGTGGTCTTTCTTCATACTGCTTCATTCTCCTCTAAATGTCCTTGACTGCTCTTCAAAAGCTTCTAGCTTTCCTAGAAAGGAGTGGCCCAAATTTCTAAAAGATGCATCATGGTTCTAATTGGTTCCCTTAGTTAGAATAGAATAGAATAGAATAACAGAGTTGGAAGGGACTTTGGAGGTCTTCTAGTCCAACCCCCTTCTTAGGCAGGATACCCTGTACCATTTCAGACAAATGGTTATCCAATCTTTTTTTAAAAACTTCAAGTGTTGGAGCATTCACAATTTCTGGAGGCAAGTTGTTCCACTGGTTAATTGTTCTAACCTACAAGGTCCCTTCCAATTCTGTTAATCTCTATCTATGTTCGATGCCTTGAGTTATTTCTAAACAATAATAAAGGTGAGATACGAATAAAGAAGCATGAACATAAAATAAACACGAATATAAGCCAGCCAGTCATTGATACAAATGTGGCCTCTAAATCGTATACATAAATACCCAAATGGAATTTTGCAAAAACAAAAATCTCCAAGTGTTAGTAGTGTGATCCTTTGCTAAAAATCTAAATTGGTTTGGGGACCATACTCATTTTCAACAGTAGGGGGAGCCCAATGGATTCTATTCTTTCAGCTACTGGCTGTAATTCTATTTTCTTGTAAAAGCTGCATCTTCATTCTGAAAAAAAAATCACATGTATGTAAGAAGGCTAGACATTTGTCTGGAACTGTATAGGGTTTCCTGCCTAGGCTGGGGGTTGGACTAGAAGACCTCCAAGGTCCCTTCCAGCTCTGCTATTGTATTGTAAGGTTAGTTGGGATAACCAATTATTGGTCATGATCCATCTCTTTTATATTAATGTCCGTAGCTCTTACTCAGAACCAAGAAAGCTTGTGTCCTTTGCAGCGATCCTTTTGTGCTGTTTAATACTCCTTCGTGATTTTCTCATGTTGCCTTCAACTGCTACAGCAGTTTCCAGATATATGTTTTCCCGGTGGGTGACAAGCTGAGAAAAGCAGGTTTATTTTTTTCCCCACACATAACACACAAATAAAACAGTAAGATCAGCATAGATCAGCATAGGCCATGTGGCCTGATTCGCACATTACACTATGCGAGTGCTGGTGAGCCTTTTCGGCACCAAGTGCTGAAACGGGAGCACACTTTTTTTGGTACGGAGAGTGTGCATACGGCAGTGGTGGGTTGCAGGCGGTACGTCCTGGTACAGGCGTACCGGAGCCTGCCCGGAGCACTGGATACCGTTCCGTTCCGGTGCTCCGGAGGGCCCACCCGCCTGCCTGAGCTCCTTACCAGTCTTAAGTCTGTGGTGCTTACATGCATGGCGCATACAGCGCCTGCGCGATGCTCCGCTGAACAGCTGGAGCATCATGGAGGCGTGCGGAGGCACTAAGACGCATGCACCGCTGCACGCGTCCATGTGGATGCCACCGGGTTGGAACGGGATCCGGAACCCACCACTGGCATACAGGAGAGCACTGGAAATTGGAAGAGCAGCTCCTTAGTGCGTATGTGCGGGAGTGCCAGAAACCAGAAGAGCAACTCCCCGGTGCGCATGGACGTGCCGAGAAGCTGAGCTTCCAGTTTCCAGCATGCGTGCTGGTCACCTGGTCTTCCGGTTTCTGGCTTGCACGCATGCGCAAAGACCAGCTGGTGAGCGCACATGTGCTTGCTGTAACCTGGAAGAGCAACAGACAACGGCTGTCGTGCCTGGAAAGATGGCTCTGTGTGACACTTCCGGCACATGTGCCATAGGTTCTCCATTCACAGCACTATGCTATATTCTTGTTTTAATTGTATTGGAAGATTTATTCAACCTTGTCTTGATTTTCTTTCATGGTGGCCTCCACTCTCTATGGTCTCTATCTCTCACTGAGAGATGGTCAGTTTTGCTATTAATGCCTCCAGTTTGATTCTTTCACTCTTCTTATCTTGAGTCCTATTTTATCGCACTAATTAAAATAAAGTGACAAAGCAGCAAAAAGCCCGGATATCGAACTCGATTTCATTGAGGACCGCATCAGGGTTGTGTTTGACCTCAGAGGTGGGCGTGGCCAGGGTAGGCGTGGCCAGTTCCTTGTGTCGGGGATGCCTGTGGTGGCCCGAGTGCTCTACCGGCAAAAATGGAGCTTGCAGGAGGCTGTCACAGCTGAAAACGGAGCCTGGGTGGGCCGTTCAGCCCACCTGAGCTCCATTTTCACTGGCAGAGGCGCCACAGGTTGGTCCTTCACTGTTTCCAGGACGGCCCCACGGGCCAGATCTAAGCACCCTGTGGGCTGGATGCGGCCTCCGGGCCTTTAGTTTGACACCCCTGGCATAAAGCATCTGTGTTATGTAGGAAGACAAACGGCAATGGCACTGTTCCTTGGTAGCGATAAGACCTCCTATCTCAGAGATCTATGCATGCTGCAGGATAAAGCAATTAAAACATTTAAAGATGACAATTTGCATCCCTTCAAGTAACGAATGCAATTTTGAAACGCTGCCCTCTGTTAATTAAAACAACGACACGGCAGTAAAGGATAAAATCTCCTTTGTGGATTTTGAAGAAGTGGGATAAAGAGAGAATCGATGCCTTTGAATTCTGATGTTGGAGAAAAATCCTGAGAGAACTGTAGATAAATCAGGGAAATGATCCAGTGGATCGTCAAACAAATTGACTCAGAAGTTTTCACTTGAGGCACAAGTGACTAGGCTCAAATTATCTTACGTCGGACGCATTAGCCCTGCAACGGTTCATTTAGTGACCGTTCAGAGTTACAACGGCCCTAAAAATGTGACTTATGACGGTGACATTCTTCACACGTGATCATTTCAGCATCCCCAGGGTCAGGTGATTTACATTCAGATGCGATCCCCTTTTGCGATCTTCTGGCAAGAAAAGTCAATGGGGAAACCAGATTCAGTTAACAATCTAATTTAACAACTGCAGTGATTCACTTAACAAATGGGGCAAGAAACGTGGGACAAAACTCGCTTAACAAATTTCTCACTTAGCAACGTAAATTCTGGGCTCAATTGTGGTCACAAGTCGAGGACTGTCTGTATGAGAAAGCCCTGGACAAGGCTGTGATCCTAGGGAAGGTAGAAGGTGTTCTGACCCAGGTTTCCTTAGAAAGCATGAAGCAGAGTCTGGGTCCCGGCAAAACCTCTTTTATTTACACGACTGTGAATTCCTTTCATTCGCAGTCAGCAAGGCTTGGCAAAGAGTCTTTCAGAGGAATATTGATCAACACGAACCTTATCTCGCTTGGCGGGCTGCCAGATAACTAGTTTCCAAATGCAGGGCAAGGCAACACTTGGCACAGAGTCTCTTAAAGTCACAAACAGAACTTCCCACTCTTGAAACAACCAAAGGAACTTATTGTTTCCTGCAAAAACCCACTCCCCGTTCACTCCTCTTTTGCTTCCTATGGGACCCTGCTTTCTTAGTTGTTCTTGTCTTCTGGCAGCTGTGCACATGCGCACACTGGGAACAGGTTCCAGCTGTTCCTCTGCCTCACTGCTGTCTAGCTCCCTCTCTGCCTCCGACACAGAGCCCTCGTCTGAGCTTTCCTCAGCCCCCAGGACTGGCCCNATCAATGCCATCCAGGATAATAATTGCTCCCTCTTTGAGGGAGATGAATAATTCAAAGGTGTATTTAGATGATAGCGATTATGTAAACTGTCTGTCTGTCGTCTGTCCTATTGTTGAATTGTCCATCTTCCTTCCCTCAAAGAGGGAGCAATTATCCTTCTGGATGGCATAATTCTTCTCCAGGTAGAGCTGACTTGCAACCTGGAGGTCCTTCTGCACTTAAGGCTCCTGCAAAACAATAGATGGAAAGCCATACCCAAGAGATCCTTTGTGTAATTTCATCTTGTGTGCCAATACCAGACAACCTTGGATCAAGAGACTTTGCTCATACCTTGCAACGTTACATCTGGAATACTGAAACTTGGTAAACAAGGGGCAGCCCTTGAAGACTTATCTGCAACCTATTTCTGCACTGTCTGCTCTGCCTTGAATAAGGTCTAGGAGGGGTCTTGCTGGGGAATGCTCTGTTCAGAGACTTTCCCAGCGATGCCCCTAACTCCCCTTCTTGGTACCACTGACTCCTGAGTAGCCAGGCTTCTCTCTCTCATTGCATTTTTGTTTTAATTTTTTTAGATCAATCCTGTGAGCAGCTCAGAGTCTCTGAAAAATTGCAGCAGGGAATGAACAGCTTGATCTTCTTCTTTTTTCAATTGGAGGAGAAATAATTAACTTTTCTTGTTCTTGATAGATTGAAAATACCTTTCTTAGGGTATAGCGACACCCTTAGCCATGCCATGGAAACGTGTCCCTTTCACTTATTGCAGAAACGATCATCTTGGGGAAGGTAAGAACTGTTTTTGCACGGACTCACTTATTTTTAATGTGGAGAATTATGCAGCCTTCAGGTTCTGCAATAACAGAGATTAGAATGGGTGGGGTCTGCCCAGTAAGCCCCCCCCCCACCCCCAGTCACTCTCTGAAAAGGAAAATCCCTGCTACGTTGCCATGATCAGAATGATCTATTATGCCTAGAGATGGTATTCAGCCGGTTCGGATTGGTTCAGGCAAACCAGTAGTAGAGATTGTGGGTGGGCTTGCCCATCCGCCCTAGCTCTATGCCGCCCTATTTATCCACGTTTTTGAGGCCGGGCACCTGTGTGGAAGGCACACATGCAAGCAAAGTGCATAC